CATACAAAAAATCGAAATGATATGGCACGTTTGCAAAACTATAATTCATCGAACAAAAATATCAAAATATTTTGGATGAAACGGACGATGTCGCTATTGAATATCGACGTTTAATAATGTTACTGATAAATCAAAATCGAAAAGAACGAACGAAATAGTTGATCAGCTACCTTTGAGATTAGTTTTTTTCATGTGCTGCCATAGTTTCTATGGCGTGTAGAGATGTTTTCTGTAATGCATTGCATTGAGACGTCACTTTTTTCTCATTGATATTTTCATTGTGTGGATTGACTGAAAAAAGGAAAATCAATCTTATTGAAAAAGACTAGTGAATGATATTGAAAATATCGTACTTTCTTCATATCAATAGCAGATTCATTGCTAATCAGTAACATTGACTTCCAGTTGTTTAAATAATCAATCTTTAAAAAAAATGCCCGCACATTTTCTCCAAAAAAAATTCAGGACAATAATCTTCAACTTGATTGAAGGAAAGTAATAAGTGATCGTTTTCAATGGTTCATATTGATTGTCGGTAATGAACATGATAGGTTTTGACAGAGGATGATATAGATCTTCAAAACTTCCCAATTGAGAAATCGAGTTGAGAAAAAGAAAATCAATTGAAAAAATGATTCCACTGAATTGGAAAAGTGGAGAAATATATCTTTAAAGAGAAAATATTCTAAAAGTGCATTGATGATCAACGAATGAGCTAAGAAAGATATTTCTCATTATCATCGATTAATGATCACGAACAAATACGTATTTTGAAAACATTTCATTCAATCAAACGACTTTGAAAGATTTGATCTTTTACTAGATGAATATTCTTTCATTTCGCTGTTTGAGAGAATGACAATCAATCTTCAATAGATTCATTTTCTTTGCTTCTATTTTATATAAATTGACTCGATTTGAATATGAATGTTTTGATTATCGAATAAGAAAATGGATCTACTAGAAATCAATTGTTAACCTATTATTTGATGATCTAATTCAAGTAGAAGTTGATGTCATTTGGAATAAAATGGAATCATTAGAGAAGAAATATCCAAATGATTGAATTGATCAATAAGGATATTGATGAGTTTTCTTTCAATAGATCTCAACGAAAAAATTTTCTTTGTTATAATCATTGAGAATCTTCAATATTTTTTTTACAAATGATGTTAATGATAAAGGAATAGAGGATATCAAATTTTTGAAAGATTATTTGTTTTAATAATTGATTCATTTGATCTATCTCCAAATTCATTTCAATTAGACATATGTTTTAATGAATCGATTACTATGTTTGATGTTAATCCAGATCATGGGTACATTTTCAGTTCTTCTGAGTACTGCCATCGTCCATCTTAATCTCACATTTTTTTAATCAAACCTAATTAAGCTGAATTTTTTAAGATGCTATGCAGCTTTTGATTCTCTACAAAATGATAACAAAAATGTATTTTTAGGTGATATGACGCTTTTACCATCTGTATACTTTTTAAGTTGTCATTTGTGTTTTTATGATAAAATTTTTTCCTTATTAGTGTAACGCAAAGTATGAGTTTTCTCCAGCTGACCTACTGGCAACCTTTCCCATCCTCTAACTTTGCTCGATCGGTCGGCCAGTCACAACCGTTGCATCAGTAATGACCGACCGGTTGAACGGCAGATAGTTCAGTCTGAATTTGGTCAACTTCAATTAAAAGTTCATTATGTGTTTTCTACGAGATAACTCAATAGTGATTTTGAATAAGTTTCTATTTAATAAAATAGACCGGTCGGTGTCAAATCTTGACCTATACCAGTTCCATCCCTGTTTAGAATCATTTTCCAAAGATAAAATGGATTGTTTTCTTTTTGAATCTTCTTATTCGGATATATAGAGTTCTGCACGTCAAGACTTCAGATTTGGCTTCGAAGATTTATGTAACTGTCTCACAGAAAAAAAGAAAGTGAGGTTTTTGAAAAAACACAAAATGACCTCCAGTGTAAAACATAGTCAAAGTTATTTTCAAAAAAATTTCAAGTTCAATTAAAAAAGTTGGTGGGTTCGCTATGTGGTTTGATGCGACTCTATAGAGAACTAGGATTTCCCGACAAAATCGCCTTTAAAATATTTTTCTTCAAACATATCTCTCCTTATTTTAGGTTCTTTATTCGTGAGAATTAAAGATGGACAGAAAAGAAGAAAGAATCTTAAAGTATTATTGACTATGAGATTTCTTCATGCTCATAGGTTAAACAAATATTTTACACTTTAACTATACATAATTAATGAAAATCATCTAATACTCATTGATTTCTAAACAATATCTTCTAGAAAACGGACAGATTCTCGATTTAGTAAATCATTGCAAATGTTTTTTGATTAAGAAAAGCTGAATGAAATCAGAAGAAGAAAGAACATTTTTTTTGTTATTTACGTGTTGCTTCATTGATGATTAATCGAATAACTATCGATAGTAGGAAATAACCATTTAATGACATATTATACATTTTAAACTTCACAATCAGTGAAGATGAAAATATCAAAAACAATTGAGTATTCATTATTAGATTTGAAAATGGAAAATAAAACTATCATATATATGTATCATTAATAATCATATTTAAAGTCTTTTCATTTCTAAATTGTCAAAGATTTTGATAATAAAAACTATAGAACTCTATGATTGTTTTAGTAGAAGTCTAATAAAAGAAAAAGATCTATTAATTGGATTGTTCTTTTTGTTGTAAATGAAAAATGAGCAAATTAAAATTTGTGTTTGATAAATATTAGCTATTTGATTTTCAAAAATATTTTCTCTTTTAATATAAATGTCTGGTTAATCTTTATTTCTATGTTTAACTATGAAATATATAATGAAAAAGATTCAAATCTTTTTTTTTTTATTTATTTATAATAAATTTAACACATAATCATATTATATTTGTTGATTTGTACAAACCATGTAGCATCTTGCTCAGTATAAATCAATGAAAAAATGAATCGGTCCCATTCAAATACGATGAGAAAACATGCAATTATCCGGAATTGATTTTTAACACTACGACAAATTCATTTCCTTAGTACTCATTAAAAGTAAAAAATTTTTTATTCATGAAGGTCTACCTCGTCTATTTAGTTTTAATGTAGATCTAACCACGAAAATCCTATTCTTACACACTTACATGTCTTATATATAACCTTTTCTTTTTCTAGTGGTATAATTTATGATCGTCCTACTCGTCCGACTAATTTTCGTGTTTAAGTGTAATGGTGAGCGTAATCGATATGGTTGTTGTAAATGATGTTCAATAGATATTGTAAGATAATGAATGATAACAATTCTTTCTATTTCTCTTCAATATTTTCTTCTGTGATTGTTTTTGCTATACTTTAGATATTATTATCTGCAACAGAAAAACTCCAAATGGCTATACCCGCACGACATTTGTTTGATGCTAGTGGACGTGAAATTTTCGATAGCAGAGAAATTCAACGTGAAATGAAATATTACGTTTCGTCAGAAGCAAATTTTAAAGAACCATCAAAATCATACAAGCTATGTTGATCGAAATTCTAATATGACATTAAATTCCAGTAACTATAGAAGAATGATATGCTATGAGCAAAGAAACCTAGTGTATGTCCCATAGTTATTTTGTATTTTATATTCAAGAGCTTTCTTATTGTACTGAAAAACGATAGATATAAAATACTTATTTTTCTCTTAGATAAAAGTTTTTCTAATAAAATCATTCTGAATTTCAATTTATG